TGAGGAGGATCAGTTTCCCATTATACAGAAGTGAAAACTGAAGTGCTCGTGGAAGTGCAGGTGAATGGACCCTCACTAGCAAAACGGGTCTAAGGTGAAGACATCCCTTTGCTCAGTCTAGTACTTTCCCATACACTATAGAACAGATATCCTCATAAAACTAAGAGAAGCAATGCCAGAGTCACAGAAATGGAAGAAAACCCCAAATGTAAATGAATTGGGAACATGTGAATAAGAAGCTTCTTAAGATACTTGCATGTTAGAATTTTTTAAAAGTATTTGAGGAAATATATTGAGCTTTTGAGCTATATTGACTCCAGTATTTGAGAATCAGCTTGTGGTGCTTAACATCTCTCAAGGCAGCCGGGTTCCCCCATTCCAACTTGGTAGCAGTGTCAAGAGATAAATAGGTAAAATTATCTGCCATAATTTAGAAATAAATACAACTGAATGGCTTAAGCTGCTGGCTTAAAATCTTTCAGAACTGTTGAACCCTCTCACTAGATTTTGTCAAGATGATCTCGTCAGTCATTTTATGTCGGCCATGAAGCAGTGGCCAATTCCCTGCCTGTGTTACCTGAGAAAATAAACTCCTTTGTGATAAGAACAAGGAAGTGCATTTTTGCTTCTTACAGTAAGCCTAACCCCTGGAGCAGGGATGCCCTTCTGCTTGGGATAACAAGATAAAGAAAACCTGTGCACGTTTCTGGACTTCCACTTTCCCAGTGCCATGTTCAAGAGTTCCCAGGATCAACCTCAGGTACAACAGCGAGCTAGCAGGGGTCGCAGAACCAGCACAGCGGCTTATGGCAGATGTGGTTTATTACAGTGAAAGGGCACCGACGAAAACCAGCTACAGGACAAGGCCACAGTGAGGCAGGGCCCAGGAGGGGCAGGCGAGAGTCCAGCTGTCCCCTGCCAGTGGCACTATGTGTGTGGCACTGTGCGGCTCTCAGTGAGGATGCCTGACCCTGAGACCAGGCAGGAAGCTCTCTGGCCTCCTGTCCCCAGCTGGTGCTGGGGTCAGTGACATGGACAGACTGCCCACCACACTGGTGGGCCGAGTTTCGAACACCTACAGAGGGCAAGCTGAGCCCGATGCCATGGGCCCCCACCCCTGCTGTGACTTGCATGGTCAGCCGGGCTGTGTGGCCTGTTCTCCAGGCCCTCATGCCACCCAGGGGCCTCCTCCCAGGAGCCGGGCCAAGGCTGAGCGAGCCTCCGTCAAGGTTAATGCCTGATCTACAAGTGTACTTCATCAATTTTTAAAGTTTCTAAAGATTAGCATCTCTGTCTGTAGTTTCTACAAAGGCCTCAGGTTTCCAACTTGAAACCAAAGTTTCCAGCCCTGAGGATCAGTTATTTTTCATGGAGTCCTTAGGCCAGTGAAGCTTCTGATGGTCATTAGGGCCAAGCAACATAACAGCGGTAGTTTGGAAAGTGCACGACAGGTGTATTTTAATACCAGCGGTGAATTTGCTGAAGTCATTCGGGGCACCTTGCCACAGATTGGAAGCCCAGTTCTATATGATGCTTAAATCACTGCACAGTGGCTTTGTTTCATTGTTTATTTTCTTTGAAACTATTTTGTTGGGATCGAAATATATGCAGAATGCTTGGCACTAGGCTGCCATATAAACGTAACATCAGCTCTGGACAGTTCCAAGTATTTCACAGGTGTTCCAGTATTAATAATAAAGAAAAAATTGTGATGAAATTTATTTTCTCTATTCAACAAATTAGCAAGCTCAATTTTTCAGAGCTTCACACAGATCTAGTAGACGTTCAAGAAATGTCTGTTAAAGTGGATTCTAAGAAGAGGAGGACTTGCTTCCCTTAGCTTGCCATGAACACCCATGCAAATAAGACTAACTCATCTATTTCTCTGTTCATTGGGATGAAACTTTTGCTGTTAAAAAAAAAATCTTTTTTCTTCATGTCCATTATAGAAGCAGAAATAGAGAATCGATATTATGGATCTAAAAGTATTAACTACGACTGAGTTCAATCAACTGGAATGCTGCCATCACTAGAGGGATGTATCCGTCAGTGCTCACTAGAGAAACAGGGTTAATATAAGGTTTATAAATACGCAAAGATTTACAAGCTTGGCTTACAGTGGCCACCGCAGGGTCAGGTGTGGAAGAGGGCAAAGGGCAAAGGGCAAAGGGCTGTCTGTGCCCTGGAGATGTGAAGGATCAGGTCAAAGGCCTGGAGCTTTGTGTGGTGTTCGTGCAAGTCCGTATGAGGAGGTCAAAGGGTCTGCGCTGGAAGCCAGGAGACGCCATCCACGGTGAAGGTGCAGGCCGGAACAGCACTGAGCCTTCCTGCTTCATCTCCCTTTCATTCCCCGCAGGCAGCCAGCCCGCTGGTTGCTGTCACTCACACCAGGGGGTCTTCTGTCTTCAGTAAATCCCCTCAGCCACAGCCAGAACTGTGCTAACTCCGTTTAGTTGGACGTTTCTTACTCAAGTTGACACAACAGTTAAAACTCCCAAAAGGTGAAGAAGAAAATCAAAACAGAGGAGGGGCTGGTGATGTAGCTTAGCAGCAGCACTTGACACCTGCCTGGAAAGCGCAAGGTCCCGAGTTTGCTCCTCAGTACCAAAATAAATAAATAAATAAATAAATAACCAAACAGAGAAGGAATCGTAGAGTACAACGTTAAACCATCAATGTCAAAGCGAGATTGATGGTTATTATTTGATTTTTCCCTTTTTATTTATAAAATTGCCCACGGATTTTCAAAAAATGATGTTCTATTAAAAAAACCTCTTTGATTAGGAAAGTACACTCTCTGAGATCCACAGCGTTGCTAGGAGTATAAAATGGTACTAATGGGATAGTGTATGCTAAAAACTCTCAAAGTATTTCCACTTTTTCTCCAAAAAGTTAGTTTTTAGTACATTATCCTGTAGTACATTAGAAATGTACACAACAGTTGTTTTATGTTGATATAATACATATTAACCATAGAAGTAGTATATAGTTTCTCAAAATTATAAGTGATCTAATTTTAGTATAATGGAAATGGTTAAATTATGACATACAGCACAATATGACATGGTCACAAGTCATGGTAAGGTACGGACATACTACGAGTATGAAAAGTGCTCAGGATATGTCACTAAGAAGAAAGGCAGAAAAACGGTATTATAATTTCGTATATATTTCATACATATGGATGCAAATGGAGGGGTGAAATGTACCAGTGTGTGAACGTGGTATAAGCGGGTGAAGTTCCTTCCACTCCTTACCCTTCTTTCCTTCTTGATTCTTCACTTTTCCAAGTATCTGTGCTTTTGTTACTTTTAAACAAAAGTATTCTGGACAAATTATGCTGTTTAGTCTTGTGGTTGACTGGTTTCCAGGATGAGGCAGTAGTAACAGACAAAGTAACAATCAGGAGAGCCAGGGATTTAGCTCTGGTTCTGCCGCCTGCCTCCAAAGCCCAAGGACCGGAGTTCGATCCCCGGTACCAAAAAAAAAAAAAAAAGGTACAATCAGGAATGACCGAAAGCAGTTGACCAGGCCAGATCTGAAACAGTTCAGTTGTCCGAAGCGAAATCTAGTCTTCGGGAAGGCACACACTTACCTCAGTGCGAACTAGGACACGACGGAAGTCGAAACAGGAGGGGCGAAGCATTGGTGAACTCTGCTGTGTTGTGTCCACACCCGTGTACAACCTGCCATAGGAAATGGCCTGAGCCTTGAGAACTCTTTGTGGTATTAACTAAGTGGAATTTGTGATACAGTCGCTGTATTTTCAATCAACCCTTTTTAAGGATAAACATCATTTCAAGATAAAAACAAATCCTTTAGCACAATCACAAAGATGCTTCAGGAGTTTGGGTGATAAAATCAACTTTTCATATTTTCATCTCATTTCCATACTGCTGGGTCCTATGGTCCCAGCTGAACGCCAGGGGCACTGGCCTGGTCTACCTGGAGGCAGAGCTGGGACCCTCTGGGCTCTGTTGTCGCAGCGCCTGCAGGGACCCCGCAGGGAACAGGACAGGCCAGGAGGGAGGTGCAAGGAGGGAGGCACAGCAGCCTTCAGGGGTCCCAGAGGCGACTTCTACTGCTGAGCAGCCAAGGAAGGGTTGGGATGGAGGGCAAAGCGGCCTGGCCGCGAGGTCGAGCCCCGGGGAGGAGTCAGGCCGCAGCGCGGGGGCGGGGGAGGCTGAGCCCCGGCTCCCGAACCGGCTGGCTGTGGGTAAACTTCCTTGGTGGACCACGGCGGTTCCCTCGTCGGCTCCCCAGCCCGGCTGCGGGAGGGCGGGTTCTTCCCAGTCCCTGGCAGGAGCAGGAGGGCAGGCGCCATGTGGCACCGCCGCAGGCAACGCTAGGCCCTTGGGTGTCAGCCCGAGAGGCAGCACTGCCAGGAAACCGTTCCAACACGGTGGTGGCTGGGGTCGTGGAGGTGCACTGAGTCACCAGCAGGACGCCCTTGACACCTCTGGGTCAGCCCAATGCCAGACGGGCCTTCGAGGGGCGCCCGGCGCAGAGGTCGGGGGACCCCCGCCTTGCCCCGGCCAGCGCGGGGAAAGATCCCGAGTGGCCCAACAGCGACTCCGGGCCGGAGAAAGAAAAGGGAAACTTCCTCGGCCTTCCAGGCTCCTTCCTATCAGTTACGTGAACTATAAGGCGAGTTCCTCCTCGATATTAAAGCAGGAGGGCTGATTTCCCCAAAACGCTCTCCTCGGCTTGGCTTTGGGGAACCGGTGACTAAAATTCCTGTGACCCAAAGGCAGACGGCAGGACGCTAACCCGGGGTCGCCGTGGGGCGGTGGGGAAGGCGCCCCACGAACCCTGCTCTGCACGCGACCGGGTTCACAGCCCCGGCGCCCTGCACCCCGCCTCCCATGGGAACAGTTTCCGGAGGGGACAGACGGGAGGGCAAGCGGGCGGATCTCGGACTCCCGAGCTAGGAGCTCTTCAGCTGAGAAAGCTCTTCTAAGGGCGCGTCTGCAGGGCCCGGCCCAGGCCCAGGCCCGGCGATGGAGGCGGAAGATCCGGGCCGGGCTCCGAGGCGAGGCGAGCCGAGCCGAGCAGAGCCGAGCCCCCGCCTGCGCCGAAGACAGCAGGGGTCGGAGGCCCAGCGCGAGTGAGTCCCCGCGCGTGCGTGGGGGGGCGGGGCGGGGCG